TAGAAAAAGAGAAGCAAATTGATATTTGAATACTATTAAGGAGATTCCTTTGGGAATATTATATATGAGGAATTAGCGAAGATTAAAAAAAGAGAGTAACAGAGGAAGGAGAAGAAAAGTACAGAGGTAGGAAAAGGTACTTGGTTTGTTTATTTGATGGTTAAGAAATTCTATTTTGTGAATTATGATGGTGAAACTAATCAGGAAGAAGATCGGTGCTTCGAAAATGAGGAACAAGGATGTGGAGATCGAGAAAGTCGATGTACAAGACGACCCAGAAGAGATCCAAAACGTGCCAGATGATATGAAGAGAATAGCGCCATGGACACAGCAGATTACAATTCGAGGACTGCTTGCGAGCTTGGCTATTGGGATGATATACAGCGTGATAGTCATGAAGCTGAACCTCACCACAGGGCTCGTCCCCAATCTGAATGTTTCGGCTGCACTTCTTGCCTACGTTTTTATCAGAACATGGACTAAGTTTCTTAAACAGGCTGGGTTCATGGCAACTCCATTCACTCGGCAAGAGAACACTATAATACAGACTTGTGCAGTTGCTTGTTACAGCATTGCTGTTGGAGGTTTATATGCTTTTTTTTTTTTTTACTGTTTCTTGTTTGGTTTCTTGAAGTGGGTAATTCTTGTTTGGTCTGAATTCTTTTTGTTTTGTTCTCAATCATGTGATTTCAGGAGGTTTTGGGTCTTATCTGCTGGGTTTGAACAGAAAAACTTATGAGCAAGCAGGGGTTGACACAGAGGGAAACAGCCCAGGCAGCATAAAGGAGCCTGGGATTGGTTGGATGACTGGTCTTCTCTTTGTTAGCAGCTTTGTGGGTCTTCTGGCATTGGTTCCTCTCAGAAAGGTATGTCTTGCCCCTTTTCTGTTCTTGCTTCTTGATAATGCCTCTGTTAGCTATCTGGGTTATGATTCTGTGCAGAAATTCTTGTGAGATTGAAATGGCTTTTTCATTGATTTTCTGATTGTCACAGATTATGATAATAGATTACAAGTTAACTTATCCAAGTGGAACAGCTACTGCGGTTTTGATTAATGGCTTCCATACTCCTAAAGGAGACAAGATAGCCAAGTATGTTTCCTAGTTTCTTCCTCTATTAACAGGTTTGCGGGTTTGGTTCAATTCTCATTTATTTGCTATTCAATTAATAGTATAACATGTAAGAAATTCGCGTTTAATTGAATAAGAAATCCGAATTTAATGTAACACTTAATCACTGTTTCATGGCTGCTTATCTTTTTTGGGTAAGTAATCGGAAAAGTTCATGTTGTGTGAATTTGATTTTCATTTCATCTAGAGGACTAAGGAAACTCTTCTTTTCTTCTTTCTTGATAATGTCTTTGTTATTGATAATGTCTTTGTTATTGATAATGATGATTCATATATGGACTACTAGAAAGGAAAAATCCATGCCTTATCGAATTAGAATTTCGACTGTGAAACAATTGAAATAAACTATGATGTTCTTATTGCAGGAAGCAGGTTCGCGGATTTACAAAATTCTTTTCGATAAGCTTTTTATGGGCTTTCTTCCAATGGTTCTATTCAGGAGGAGAGCAATGCGGATTCGTTCAGTTCCCAACATTTGGACTCAAAGCTTGGAAAAATTCGTGAGTCTTCCACATACATTTTCTTGTACAAAAACAACTCTGCCTAATGGTTAATCACAACACCACTTACTTGAGAATTTCAAACTTTCAGATTTTACTTCGACTTCAGTATGACTTATATTGGTGCTGGAATGATATGCTCCCATCTTGTGAATTTGTCCTTGCTTCTTGGTGCTGTTCTCTCTTGGGGAGTAATGTGGCCACTCATTGGTGGGCTTAAAGGAGACTGGTTCCCTGCAAGTCTGCCACTAAGCAGCATGAAGAGTCTAAATGGTTACAAGGTCTCTGCGACTTATGACATGAAATTACTATTCAGCCTCCTCTGCAAAAATCAGTTTTGAATTATCGGTAAGAATTTGTTGTCGATGGAGAAACAGAAACTAGATACTTATGTTCTTCATGGGTTTTTGCAGGTTTTCATATCTATCGCTCTTATCTTAGGAGATGGGCTCTACAATTTTGTAAAGATCTTGTGCTTTACTGCCAGAAGCATCCATGTGGGAGCGAAGATCAAAATCAAAACATGTAAGTAGGTTGTCTTAAGAGATAATTTTAGGTCTATGGCTTTACATCCTTGATTGCCTTTGAATTGCGTGTCATTTTTTTTTAACGAAGATGGTTAAATCATTCTGACATTGCTATCTAACCTTGCAGCTTTAGAAAACCATAACAATCAGAATCTCGACGATCTTCAACGAAATGAAGTGTTCATAAGAGAGAGCATTCCAGTATGGATAGCTTGCATTGGATACATCCTTTTCTCAATCATCTCCGTCATTGTTGTTCCACTTATGTTCCCTCAACTTAAGTGGTACTATGTAGTTGTTGCTTACATTCTCGCACCATCTCTTAGCTTCTGCAATGCTTATGGTGCTGGGTTAACTGACATGAACATGGCCTATAATTATGGCAAAGTAGCACTCTTCGTGCTTGCAGCATTGGCCGGAAAAGAGAATGGAGTAGTTGCAGGCCTTATCGGCTGTGGCCTGATTAAATCCATTGTTTCAATATCTTCTGATTTGATGCATGATTTCAAAACTGGCCATCTGACTTTCACTTCTCCAAGATCAATGCTTGTTAGCCAAGCAATTGGAACAGCAATAGGCTGCATCGTTGCTCCACTCACATTCTTTCTCTTCTACAAGGCCTTTGACTTAGGGAACCCAGATGGCGAATACAAAGCTCCTTACGCTATCATTTATCGAAACATGGCGATTCTTGGTGTTGAAGGCTTCTCAGCTCTCCCTCATCATTGTCTGCAGCTATGCTACGGATTCTTTGCCTTCGCCATAGCAATCAATTTGGTGAGAGACCTTGCCCCAAAGAATATAGGAAAGTGGGCTCCTCTTCCGATGGCTATGGCTGTGCCTTTCCTGGTTGGAGCGTACTTTGCCATTGACATGTGTGTAGGGAGCTTGATTGTGTTCATATGGCATAAGCTAAACAGCAAGAAAGCAGCATTAATGGTTCCTGCAGTTGCTTCTGGGTTGATTTGTGGAGATGGGTTATGGATTCTTCCTTCATCAATCCTTGCTTTGGCCAAAATTCACCCTCCAATCTGCATGAACTTCTTGGCATCTCACTAGAAATTTCGGCACAGAAACAAAGACTTGTCATCATAGCTAGAGAAAACTCAACTACATGAACAACCTGATTAGTTTGGTTCCAGACCGACGAGCAAAAGAGAAAGTCAGAAACTGATGTTACTCTTTTTTCTAAACAGTTAGAGGAACCCGAACTTAATCAGAACTTTGTCAGAGACTAAATCTTATTTCTAAACAATTTTACCAATGCACTTTCTTGTAGAAGCTGTCTAGTATAAGTAAGAACAGGAGTATAAGAATACAGCATTTCAGGTAAATGTAGTAAAAAAAACTGCGGGTTATCTTGCACAAGTTTGGGTAGAAAGAAATAAACAATTTTTTTCTGTTTATCATTTTTTTAGAAATTACAATTAGATTCTTGATTTATCATCAAAGTTTATGTGCTGATTTTCATAACCTAACAATGTCAGAATGAGTGATTTACCCATCTGCCAAAAAAAAATTTGACACCAATTCAAAGATAGTCGTAAGACAACCTACTTACATGTTTTGATCTTCACTCCGACATGGATGCTTCTGGCGGTAAAGCACAAGATCTTTACAAAATTGTAGAGCCAATCTCCTAAAATAAGAACAGTAGATGTTAAAACCTGCAAAAACCCATGAAGAACATAAGTCTCTAGTTTCTGTTTCTTCGCCAACAACAAAATCTTACTGATAATTCAAAACTGATTTTTGCAGAAGAAGCTGAATTGTAATTTCACGTTGTAGGTCACAGAGACCTTGTAACCATTTAGACTCTTCATGCTGCTTATCGGCAGAGTTGCAGCGAACCAGTCTCCTTTAAGCCCACCAATGAGTAGCCACATTTCTCCCCAAGAGAGAACAGCAGCAAGAAGCAAGAACAAATTCACAAGATGGGAAGCATATCATTCCAGCACCAATATAAGTCGTACTGAAGTCGAAATTCTCAAATCTTAAAGTCTGAAATTCTCAAATAACTGGTGTTGGAATTTAAATTAATCAACATCCATAAATGCATATTTCTACCAGATTAGCTTCCTCTATATTTATGTACACATTAAATCTCCAAATTATTACCCAATATTTCAGATTGATATTCTAATGTTGCAGATATATATATATATACATACGTGGCAGGTTTATATACTTAATATTTTCCTTTTGTAAAAAATTTCACAAAAATCAACGGCTTAGATTTTCTGCTATTTATAGAAACTTTAAATGTGGACCAAGAAGGAGATCAGATACGGTTCTCCAATAAAGTACACGGGCCAGCAGTTCAGGTCTGCTTCAACACGTATTACTTTAAAAAGACGAAAATACCCTCGATTATCCACACTCCGCCTCTTCTTTCCGGCAATAATAAATGCCGGATACCCATTCCCTGCACGGAAAGGGTATTTTGGTAATTTAATTTTGCCCTGAGAAGTTCGTACATTAGGAGGGAGGATTCCTCGAGGAGTACGCCATTTCGACAGGTCTTTGGGAGAAAGAGAATAGCCAAATCGTATTTTACATTTCTCAGAGCCACTCTTTTTTCTCGTAAGCCAAACATTAATACTGTACCTTCAGTATCTGTTCCTCTTCGTCTTCTTTTTACTTTTCGATTGGATTCTCAGAAGATGAATTTTAGATGCTTTCGTGTTTTTTTTTTCTTCTTTTTATGATCTCAAAACTGGGGGGACTTTGCTGGTGTTCTTTTGAATATCTCCGCTGAGTTTTGTTGAATGATTTTGAGGATTTCGGTTTGGAATTTCTCTATTTATAAATTTTTTGCGTGGTTTTTGTGATTTGCAGAAGTGAAAAAGAATGGCGTCAGATCCAAAGGTTCACGAATTTGAAGAGGTCGTCAAGCACAATAAAACCAAGGATTGTTGGCTTATTATTTCTGGCAAGGTCAGATTTCTCGTCGACTCAGATACATTTTGTAGAATATCAGTTACTGCAAATTTAGTTTATTTTTTTGTTTGTTCTTTTTTGATCCTATTTTAAGCTAATTTCTTGTTTTAATTTTATATAACTTTGGTACTCATAATTATAATATGAATTTTGTGTTTAATTCTTTGTCCTCACACCTTGCAAATGATACTGAAATCATACCAGGAAGAATTCAAAGGAGGATAGAGTAAACATTAGGTCATAATAATACGTGTCTGAGAAAAGATTATGGAAATTACACCTTGCAAATCAACTAGAGATTAATTAACATAATAATACGTGTCTGAGAAAAGATTATGGAAATTACACCTTGCAAATCAACTAGAGATTAATTAACAAAGGAATGAATACTAAATCAAACAGGACCTTGATATAAATCGGGTATTGGAATTTTTTTTAAGGAAGAAACTGAGAATAAGAGCTGTTCTTTTACTTAATTTTTGCGGATTGTTTGTCCGATGAGTTGATTGCATTTTCGTTCTACTTTGGGATACATTTCTCCGCAGTCAATACAATGTTTGGTAGTTTAAAGGTGTAACTTTTTGAATCTGGACATTACACGTTATTTGTCTTGTACCTTGTGCACCAAGCAAAGTACAGTAGATGTCTTATTTTTGACCTGTCTTCCTGTTGTAATATGCATTTATCGGCATTCGGGGAGAATTTATTCGAGTTTAAAATAACAATGTGTATTTCTTGTTGAATTTTATTAATACCCTAACCTATTTAGTGGAGGTTTTTGTAGCAAGAATAGAGAATGTATTGATGGTGTTCTGAACTTTAATGTCAGGTGTATGATGTAACACCATTCATGGATGATCATCCAGGAGGCGATGAAGTTTTGTTGTCTGCGACTGGTGGGCAGTAGTACTTGTGTTTTTGGTTGGATGATATTTCTTTTCTCAACCTTCATATGTCCATGTTAAAGCACCTCAAACGAGACTTTCATGTGGATGTAATTGTAGGGAAGGATGCAACAAATGACTTCGAAGATGTGGGGCACAGCGATTCGGCTAGGGAGATGATGGAGAAATACTACATAGGCGAGATTGATTCATCAACCATTCCGGTAAGGAAAATGAAGCTTCCACAGCAGCTACCACCATACAGTCAGGACAAGACTCGAGACTTTGTGATTAAGATACTGCAGTTCCTTGTACCTCTCCTGATTCTGGGATTGGCTGTTGCCGTCCGACACTTCACCAAGAAAGACTAGGCATCAATGTGAATTATTATTGTTGGAGCGAAGGACCATCTCTGTCGGCATTTAGGTATGAATTGGTGGTCTGAAATCATTCGCATTGTTCATATTGTGTCAGAAAACTGTTTAGTTGGTAACTGTTTGATGGTGCATCAGAGACCATGGCGTCATGATTGCTAGTTGTTTCAGTCTTACAGGATGAGTTGATTTTTGTTGAATTATAAGCAGGATAGTGTTCTTTGTTAGCTGTACTTTTCTCATAATTTTGATTAAGCACTTGCAAAATGATGGGTTATGAGGACATGGTATGTTTTCGTACATTCTCTTTCTCAGTGAGTTGACAAGAAAGATTAGTCTGTTAAAAATTAGGGATATGAATATGCTTTTATTATTGAATTTATTTGACAATTGATACAGTTGAAATACAAGATCATAGAAATTTTATTTTAAAATAATAAAAATTAATTCTCATCAAAACTTTAAAGGAAAATAAAATAATATATTTTAAATTAGATAAAAATTAGTTTATGTAGGTGAGAGAATAAATTTTATGAAACAGTTTTATTTGTTTTGAAGGCTGTTATTATAATTTAATAATTCACTATTCAAATCTTATGAAAGTTTGGTTTCCAACTAATCTAATAAGAGAGTAAAAATAGAACACGAAATTATGATATAATTTACATATTACAAGTAATTTAGTAATGAAGTGTAAATGTAAGAACATAAATTCTGTTTAATACATAAAAATAAAATGTTTTTTTTTTTAAATTTTCAATGTTTGTACATGTTTACTCATAAACTATATTCCGGACATTTAAATAATTGTTTTTGTTTTTTTTTTTTCATTTTCTTTGATGTTCATACAAAAAAAAAAAGTAATTAGAAATAAAAATAACTTTTGAAAATTATAAAATAATATTTTCTGTGTTAAAAATTGAAAATAAACTACTATTGACATATTTTAAAAAATTACTTTTATTTATATCTAAATACCACACATCACATATCTTAAATTATAATATATGTTATCGTACGCATGTGAATTAAAGAACTAAAGAGTAAACTGTGTTTTCATGAAGAAAATTGAATCTAAATCAAGCAAATCATATAATAATAATATAGTAACAGAAAAAGAAAACAAATTAATTGAAGTAACAGAAGGGATGATAATTTTACCAATACACATTCCTGAATCCATATGGTACACATTGGATTGGTGATTGACTTTGAGAGGGAGAAGTACAGGCCGACTTCCATCCCCATCTAACTTTTGCTATTGAATATCTGATTACAGTAACAATCATGAGAATCGCATGCCAAAAAAACCAACTGGTGGAATGCAATCCACGGCTAAAAATTCTAAATGAGACTGCTGTTCAATTGCACTCGGCCAATCTTAACTGACCTTTTAGAAAAGCAAACAGCTGCGAAATTGAGTGTATAGAATACCGTTGAAGTAACTGGATGCGAAATGGATCCATCAAGGTATGAATTAGTGAGATAAGTACTGTAAAAACGGCTGAGTCATGAGAAGGACGTTTTGATCTTGTCATGGAGGGTTACCACCAGATCATGGGCATCGTCTAGAAGCTTCCACACGTCGAGTTGCCCGGCCATACTGTTGCACTCCCGCAAAATCTCATCCATGCTGCTATATTTCTCTATGATCAATTTCCTTCTCTGCAGTACAGAAGCTGCAATTGCATATAGTAGTAAATCATCTGTTGGTGGGGCTCGCTGCCTTATCCTACTCCATGCAGACTTTCCGATACCAGCCTAATGGCTGCCCGATCTGCCCACATTACTTCCCAGAGGCAAATTGTTTGTTCAAATGTCAATTCCCTCCTAAACATTACAATCACCATCCTGTAAACAAAGAAGCAATCCTCCGCCTGGAGCTTCTCCAGATGCCTATAAAGGTGAGAGTCCTTGGATTTGATTATCTTGGAGACGATATTCAGTTGTCTTCGGATTCCCACCTCATCAAGCCTAAAATTATGGCGAGCCTTCTTCATGAGACCAACAAAGCACCAAAAAGCTTCATGATCCTCAGTGATCACAGCAATTATTGGCGAAAGTAGATCACTCATACCCTGGCAATAGCCAATCTCGGGGTCATATAGTGCATAAGCTTCAAGAATAGCAACAAGTCGTGCAGCATGAAAAATTCTACAGGGTTCCAGGTGATCAAAATCCTTCAACCCAATAGCCTCTGCTGAACGGCGTGCCCTGCCATCTGATACAGCAGCCTGAGATGGAGAGTATGGTATCCATTCGGAATTTGAACGTACAGCATCAACACGAATAATACGCTGCCAGGTTGCATAATCTTCAGAGGCACGTAGTCTTGATCGGACTTCTGTGCTTGAGAGAGGAGTGTTCTCTTTTGAAGGAACATCTGGAACGTTTTCTTCCCCACCTACTGATGAAGGACAAGCTTGAATCACTTCGGGGTCTTCAGAGGAGTCCGAGTCAGATGATTCAGTATTCATAGCAGAGGCATCAGCATTTGTGATTCGTCTTAAACTATCATCTCTTTCCAATAATGCTTTGGAGGGTTCATCTGAATACATAATATATGGGCTCATTTCCTCACTAGAAAGAGACTCCCTGGCGCTAACTACGTCTTCAGAGCTTGACGTGTCCATTTCTTGAACGAGATTTCTGCTATTCCCATTACAGCCAGTTCCAACTTTCAACTTAAAACTACCATTGCCGCTTTTTTGGAGTGATTTACACTGTCTGCGGAGTTTCTCATACTCCTTTCTGACAGATTGACCAGAGATATCCAATAAATAAACAGCTCAAAATGTGTAAATTTGCTGAGAACAAAAATCGCATATCTTGAAAAGAAAAAGATTGATTATGGAAGAACAAGTTGAAAGTCTTGTTACCTTTTCTGAGTTCTGACAATCTCTCTTTCTTCCTTGGAGCTGTTCAACTCATACCTATTGTCAGAAGGAGAAAAAGGGATCACACAGGATAAAGCAAGATTGCCAGGATCTAAGGGGGGCAAAATATTGCATTCAACAAAAGGCTGAATTTGTGTTCCTATAGAAATAATTAAAAAAATAATGCATGTTCTCTTGCTCTCTAGGGGAAGGTAAAGCCACCAACAGCCTAATGCAGAACATGAAGTTCCTAAAATGAATATATTTAGATAATATGAAACACGAGAGAGAATCAATAAAGAAGCATAAACATCTTCGGAAGTTAACTAAAAGGAATATGAAGATTTAATTTTTTTTTGCAAGTCTTTGAAAGTTTTATAATAAAGAAAAATAGGATGATTTGTTTTTCTATTTCCTAGATTTCTTACTTCCTAGGTTTCCTATTTCTCTGGTCTTATATTT